AAGATGTGGCCTCAAAACTCCACATGGACTCTGCCTGTCCAGCAGAGGTTATATTCAGCAGGTTCTGACCAGTTCTGGAGAACCAGTAGCAGAAATTTTGAGTAGTTCAGAGAACTGGCAAATACCGCCTCTGACTGGAGATTTTACAGTGTCCTTCCCCTGCCACACCCAAGCCACACTCACAGAATTGGTAGTAAAAAAAAATTGAATCTCACCACTGCTGTCCAGGATATTTTCTAACTCAAGAAATATGAACTCAGCATCAGGGAGTTATGTACTTCCTGTACTGAATGAAGTTTGCTGGAATGAGAAGGCCTTCCTGAGCAATGGTTTCTTTTTCAATCCTTAGTTATTCTTTGGGCTTGGGTTATGTTTTAGTTCATAATCCCATCCCTCATCTGGCTCAATTTATAACTCATAATTTTGTGGCCTTGGCCTGGCTGGTGGGGCTGTTACTGTTTTTCAACCTATCTGGTCCCAGTAAACATGACAGCATGCATATCATCATTGATATACTTAGCTGCTGTGAAAAGACAGTGTTTTAAATAATTCAGGATTAAATCCATCAGCTAATATGAAGCAAAAAAGGAAAAAGTTGCATGCATCAATGCCTATAAATCATCAGTTTGTGTGAACAATCCAAACAAATTGCAACATTTATTCCAGAATTCCAGATTATTTCATCTGTATCAAATCTGTCCAGACAATTATTACTTTTCCCTTTGTTCTGAAATTTGTCTGCACAGAAGCACATTAGAAAAATATTTATTTTTAAAAAAAAAGTTTTTAAGCTCAAGATTTATCTCTTGTCATTCTACTGGTAGGTTATTCAACCTGGCTAAAAGATCCATTAGAATACATTGCATCTAACTAGAGATTAATGAAATAATTTGCATAACTTGTTCTCCTTCCAAATTACAATCAGGAAGGAGAAAAGGGACAAATGTTTTAAGATAGTGGCAAGATATTCTCTTGCAAACCATATACAGATAATCCTTGACTTACAACCATTCGTTTAGTGGCCATTTGAAGTTATAATGGCAATGAAAAGAAGTGACTTATGACCTTTCCTCACACTTATGACCATTGCAGCATCCCCACTGTCATGTGATAAAAATGTGGGCATTTAGTAACCAGGATATATTTATGATGGTCGTATGGTAGCCATTTGTGACCTTCCCAGCTAGCTACTGACAAGCAAAGCTAATGGAAAAAGCTGGAATTGCTTAACAACTGCAGTGGCTGTGAAAAAAAATGGCTGTGAAAAAAAAAGACTGTAAAATCAGCTGCAACTTACTTAACAACCATCCTGCTTAGCAATGGAAATTCTGGTCCAAATTGTGGTCGTATGTTGAGGACTGCCTGTATGTACTTCAATGTGCACTAATAGCAATAGCACTTAGACTTATATACCTGTTTACAGTGCTTTACAGCCCTCTCTAAGCAGTTTTACAGAGTCAGCCTCTTGCCCCCAACAATTTGGGTCCTCATTTTACCCACTTTGGAAGGATGGAAGGCTGAGTCAACCTTGAGCCTGGTGGGATTTGAACTGCCAAATTTCAGGCAGCTGGCAGTCAGCAGACGTAGCCTGCAGTTCTGCACTTTAACCACTGTGCCACCGAGAGTCTTTGATGGACAAAATTCCACGTGCAGAAAAGCATCTGCAGTCAGATACACATGTAGATGATATGTTCAGAATTTCTGGAAATCTTTGGGGGAGTTTATTTATTCTGCTGCTATCAAGCTCAAATGAAGTCTTTTTTTTAAAAAAAACAGGTTAATTCTTTGGACATGAAATTTTGATTTGAAATTTGGACATGTGACCTATTCTCAGGAGGAAGTTGCACATTATCGGCAAGCTGACACATCCACACCCAAACCCTTAAGATCTGAGAGCTAGATTGTTTTAACATAAACATATATAATGTGTGCATGTCTTTCTCTCTCTTTCTGCACGGATATATATACACTGTAAAGCATTGAAAATAAACTAGCTCTGAAATTAACTCCACCCAATCATTTTATTTTACACTATTATGAAAGCAGCTTCATTCAAGCAAGAGTCTAATTATCCGTCTCTTCAGCTCTGATGCAATCCATATCTTTCATTGGATCTGGGTCATATCATTTCTCGGACTGACAAGTGTCCTCGGTAACCTGAAGCAAAACCATTAAACATCTTATTTGTTTTTGTTGATGCTGAGGGCTGGTCCTGGGATGAAAGGTAACAGTTTTAGAGTGCAGAAGGCATAACGATCCTTCAGGGGGGTATTCATGTTATAAAAACACTTGACCCTGTTTGAAAGGCTGACTGGTACCTCTCAGATCTTCAGATTAAAAGCTGTTTAATATTTGTCCACTTTATGCCGAAGAACAACATGCAAACTGTTATGTAGTCAAAATCACAGCATCCATGAAGAAGGAGGTGATAGCAGAATTAGGGGATATCAAAGTTCTTAAAGGAAATATTTATATATTTAAGATATAAACTTAACATATACCTCTCCAAACTTGATTGCAGAAAGTACAACTTCAGCAACAGAGAGGTCAATGCCTGGAACACACTACCTGACTCTGTTGTCACATCCCCAAATCCACACTCCTTTTCCCTCAAACTAACCACTGTTGACCTCACCCCCTTCCTAAGAGGTCTGTAAGGGGCATGCATAAGCGCACAATTGTGCCTACCGTCCCTGTCCTATTGTCCCCAATTATTTGTACCCATTTTATATATTTATACTTATGCTTATTATCTTGTAAACTATTGACAAATAAATAAAATAAATATCTAGTTTAATGAAAAGAAGGGCTGATGGGGGGGGGGGATGTGACAAGATAGCAGGGTTCCAATATTTGTGCAGTTGGAAGAGAGGGTCAACCTATTCACCAAAACATATGAAGACAGGAAAAGAAGCAACGGATGGAAAGTACTCAAGGAGAGAACCATTTCCTAAAAATGACAGCAATTAATCAGTGTGACTAAAACACTCATTCACAGTCACAGCCAAGGAACTTATGGCCATTATCCTCGAATGCCATGTGAACCCAGGAAAAGACATGGTTCTTTATGGCACTGCAGAAAATGCTCTAGCCATAGTTCCATAGTGCCAAAGCTATTTTGGAAACTGAATCCAAAGTATTGGACAGCCCTACTAGCATGGACTCTTCTGCTTTCCCCAGAGACAAAATGAAACTTCAGGAAAGAGGACAAACAACTGCGTAAATTATTCAAATCTAGCTTTTCTACGGAGAGACAGCTTTAAAAATTAAGGCTTCACAAATCATTGAGCTGATATTTCAATTGGATAAAAGTTGCGTTCTCCTTGACCATAAAAGCCCCTTTCAACTGGTAGTGTTAGAAGAGGCCTTGTGTGTATATCTGTGTTTATGTGTGTTTCTATGCAAGTGAAGCAAATTGTGATACTTTCTGGTGTTTCACTGAAATACAATATAGCACAACCAACTTCTAAAAGCCTGGTAGAAATTTTCTTTCTTTTTTTTGTAAAAAGTTTTATTTTTATTTTTTGACAACAAACATGAACAAACATGAACACAAAACAACAAATAAAACCTTCTTTCATTTGTACAGTGTGTTGGTTGGTACATATTTCTTGTGCACAATATCTCTGATAGAAATTTTCATATCACTGACCTATATAAACATTGCAGATTTCTGCGCAATTTTTGGTGGATTTTTCTGGTTTTTAATATTTACTTCCAGTTTCCCTTTTTAAAAAAGTGTCCATTGGGGAAAACAGACTTACTTAATAATCACAATGTTCACTTAACAACCACTGAAAGAAAAGTTATGGAATTGGGAGCAGTCGAATGTTAACATGCTTAACCACTTAACCACCTCCATAAGTTATGACTGTAATTCCACAGAATGGAACAACTTGCCACAGGCAACTCATCGTGGCTAACTCATCATGGGCTGTGAGACAATTTAACAATTCTATTTATTTAAAATAAATAAAAATTTGTTTTAATTTTTGCCATTCACATTTCATCCTGTCCCTCCTTTTTTAATGATTCTATTCCATCATTTCTTTGATATTAGTGTAATTCTTGTCCTGCGATGAGTTGTCCTGTGATGAGTTAGTCATGGCGAGTCATCCCACAGTGAGTTGGCTGTGACAAATTGGCCATGGTGAGTTGGCCATGGCAAATTGTCATAATTCCAGGCTGAATTACAGTTGTAAATTGAGGAATACCTGCATCAAGCATTGATAACCAGACTGGGGAAAAAGAGTTCAGTACCATTTATAGTGAGAAGGTGGGGGGAATCACTGCAAAAGTCTTATATCTGTGTCACCAGGCAGAAGCAATTAAGAGGTCAAAGAGAGAGAGAAATAAATAAGATTTAGTGCCTACATCCCTTCAACCTTCTTCCCCATCCGCTTTGCCTCCCTTCACAAGGTTTGCAACCAGAACCCTTCATTTCCTCTTGTGTTTCTATTAGCCAGTATTTTCAATTCATCAGCATCAGCTATGATGAAATTGGTGGCAGATATTCCTCAAAAGCAGCTGGGACTCTCCCATGAGTCTACTTGCTTTCGCTAGGGAGAGTTCTTAAAGTGACTAGGGCTGGAATAGCTACAGGTGAGAACAAACCTAAACTGAGTGTTGTGGAAGGTATACAACTTCGTGGTGCATTAAGAAGGATATTTTGAAAAAAAGTGTGGAAGGATCTGAGGTTCCTGTATGCAGTTACATGTGGGCATCTCACTTTGGAGTGTCAAATCAGGTACACATCTCCAGTTGGTGCGATGCCTCTTGGGGATTTTCCTCCTCCCAAAATGGGAGTAAGCAAGGATTGAACATGATAAACACGGAGAACAAAAACCTTCCACAATCTATGATGGAGGTTATCATTTACTGTCATCTCGTTTATTACCTGCAGCGTCAGTGATGAGCAACAGAGAGATACTGCCGGGAAGGAAAAAAAACCCCCAAAACAGACAACTTACTTACTTAACAGCTGATCCCACATCGCTTACCTGGAATCGTCGCATATCTCGAGGGTTTCCTGCAGTCTTCAAACAGTTCTGGTTGCACTTGAGGAAGAATTTTAAGAAGAATCTGCAAGGGGAGAAAAGAGAAGGGACTTGACACCTTCCGTTTTTAAGAAATTAAAGTCTGATATCATTTAGTTGCTTTGTGCCAATGTGTTTGTGCCCTGTGGCTGGAACCATCAGGGGGATCTCAACTGCCTGTCGAAAAGGAAACTGTCAATTAAAACAGATTAAAATGACATTTCTGGCTGCATCCATAAAGCAAGATCTGAAATGTTCGGGAATCAGAGATTCTTCCAAGCTTTGTCACCCTGAAGCCATATAAGGAAAGATAGAAAGAACACAAACAGAATGAATTTATATATGCAAATATGCAGTCAGAAGCGCAGCAAACATCTCATTTCCTTTTCCCTGAGTGTAAAGGACATTCAGACATTACTCTGTAGGAAAACTGACTTCCTCTGGGAAGGTCCACACCGAAGCTAGAACTCCATCAGGATATACGTTTATCTTAACGATAGAGACGTTTTCAGGGGTGCAGCTCAGTTGTAGAGCTCTTTGTGGGGTGAGAAGAAAGTGAAAAATCTATTTACAAAGTTCAGTTCCCTCAAGTTAAGATCTGAAACTGGCCATAGAATTGAATTTGATTATGTTTACTTTCATGTTTTTCTCAAAAAAATATTTCTGTTCTGTAAGATTTTCACATTAATGCACATATTTGTAAGAAATCTAAACAAAAACTGCCTGTATGTTTGACACCATTTCTCCAAATGTGCATTTTTTTCCTCTTTGCTTCTTTTGTTTTTCAAATACACCAATCCAACATTTTGTAGAACAGGTTCATATTTCCTTTCGCCGCCTCATGTATCCTCATTTTTGTACTTTCCCTAATTTTGACAACATTTCCTCCTAATTTATAGGCATTCCCCACATTCTCTCTGACTTCCAGCCCATGCATATTCTGGAAAATATGCCTTTCTTCCTTTTGTGAGCTTCATAAAATTTAGCAAAGGAGCATGCATAATGCAAAGGAAAGATAACATGAAGAAAAATCAATGACATCCAAAAGCTACTATGGTTGGGATGTTGAGTGCCCGTCAGGGACAAAGGGTTAAACTTCTACCGAGTGTATTATGTTCATTATGTAGCCTTGGGCAAATCTCTGCATTTCACTTTAAGGCATTTTACAAAACTTCTGGGAATTTAAATTATAGAAATTCATACATCAGTTGCTCACAGAGCCTTCAGCCCACATATATTCTAGAGGGTTGCCTTATTTTGTGCTGTAAGGCAACATTTATAATACTCTTTTAATTTTATCTTCTTGATTCTACTATTGTTGGAAATTGATACATGGTATTCTCAAGTCTATCCCTAAATGTCTATCGAGATTGTCAATCACCCAGGTCATGGTTGTTCCTGAAGAAGTTTTTTTGGGATGAGAAATGGAATATTTTTAAGGAAAAAAACAAGGAAATCCAGTTGCCTTTTGGAAAAGCACTTTTAGGTCAGGTCCAAGTCTTTAAATATCATAATACCATCTGTATGCATGCAACTTTATTGTGTTGGTTGAATATTCATGCAAGGGGATGCAAATTTGTGATGTGGGAATTAGGGTGTGGTTCTGCTTAAGAGCTAATATGTTGGATTAAGATAGATGAATCCTAGATTAAAATTCCCATCAGGAAAGTGATAAGCTTCTATTAGGTCAGGTATTATTTTTGGCCAAATAAGTGGAATTGTGGTAGGATAAATATGAGTGGAATCAGTCTTAAGAGATGGTGGCATCTGGCCAAATTTGTCTAGGCTAAAAAAAACAACCTGATGGTTTAGACTTGGTTAGTACTTAGATAAGAAATCTCCAAGAAATGCAGAAGGAGGAAGGAGTAGTAGTAGTAATAGTAGCAGCAGTAGTAGTGGTAGTGGTAGTAGCAGTGGATACATTATTGGAGTCACTGAAGATTAAGGTTTAATTGAAGAATAAAATAAAAATATACTAATAAATATGAAGAGGAATGTTGTTATACAACATATTTGTTTTCATCGGGTGAAGCATCAATAGTCGGACATTTGAAAGTTAGCTGAAGGTGTTTTCACATGCCCAAGCTAATCAGTCTTAAAATATTTTATGACTTCTTTAGTTCATACAACTGCCTCCATGCTCTTAAATTTTTAACCTTTGTTTCTAGTCCATTTATTTGAACTTAATTTAAATTTTATTATAAGCGTTTTACTTTTTCTAATGGTACTTATACTTTATGGCCTACTGCCTAGAGAATATTTGTTCTGAGTAGGAAGAAGGTACTGTAAATCAAGGGTAGGTGAGTTAGCACAGAGGCCCTCGGCCAATTTAGTTCTTGAGCAAATTCCAAGCTTTTTGAGAGGAGCTTAAAATCCTTGGTAAGGGTTCTGTGTCTACTGCTTGAAAAAGAAGATAGAGAGAGTAGGAAAGAAAGAAAAATGGGAAAGTCAGAAATAGACAGACATCTCTGTCTCCCTCTCTCCCTCTACTTTACAGTCCTCAGCAGAAACAACACTGTCCACTGTTGCTGTAAATAAAAGTCATATAAAAGAAACATATTAGTTCTATGTTATTTCATTTACTCATGTTTTACAAGAGAAAAGCCCACTTTACTACTCTGGAATCCTCTCGGTAGTAAATGTTCCAAAAAAGAACAGATGAAGACAAGTACTTGAGACTTGTGCTTTCAAAAGGCCAGATGCAGAACTACTTACAGAGTCCTTCAATCACAGAGCAAAATAACTCTGGCAATATGTAAATGGACAACACTGGAAGACTTCCTATCAAAAGGACAGCTACTTTCCAATAACTCACTATATTATATTTTGTTGCCGTTCAACATCACTGCATATAAAGTTTTCAGGAAAGATTCCATTATCAGTCAGAATATAGTTATTAGTATATATTTCCTCTGTTAACTTTCCTCTTTATATATAGAATACATGCCTGGAGTTATCCTATCATTGGTATCTTATTTTCCCAGGAGTCTCCAGGTCTATGTACCCCGATCAGCCTGTCCCAGCCTTGGGTCTTCTGATATGCTAAATGTGCAACAGCTAGAATTTCTAGGAAGTTGGAAATTCTGAAGGTACAACCTCAAGCATCTGGAGAACACTAGGGTGGTGAAGACTGGCTAGAAACAAATGCAATGGAAATATGTTGGAAATAAAATAATAAATGTATAGCTTTAAACCAAATGTAAATTGTTTTAAATTTGATTTTAAAAAATTGTTTTGTAATAGAATTGTCAAAGTTTGGAATATTCTGCCCAATATAGTTGTCTCAGCTACTAATTTTCATAGTTTTAAATCCAACTTAACTTCAATGGACCTCATCTCATATTTAAGAGGTCCTTAAGCAAGGGTGGATCAGTGCACTAAATGTGCCTTATTGTCCCTGTCGCATTTTTCCCATTTTGCTTGTTTGAATTTGTAATTTTTGTTTGATGAATAAGCATTAAACAAACAAACAAATATGAAATAAATATGTTGGATGTGACTGATTGGAATTTTGCCCTGTAAGCTGTTCAATTAAAAAAATTAAAGGAAAACAAAGCAAGAGCTAGCCGGAATAGGTAGCTACATTTAATTAAATTTGGTTATTCCCCTAGAACTTAAATAAGAGAAACTTGCAAAATCCAAGGAGGATGGATTGGGAAATAAAAACAAACCATTGAAGACAATAATGGCAAACTATTTTCATACTGCTGCCATGGACATGGCATGTGGTGATCAAGACTCAAAATCAACTTGAAGGAAACCTTTTAGCTGTTAAACAGATGCCAAGGCAATCCATGGCAATTGATGTTCCATTTTGGGGGCATGCTTGGGCTACAGGGACTTGTATTCTGGAGCATCATTTTTGTGTTAAATATATGACCTGACAAAATCTCAAAGCATTATGCCTAGCCACAATAGCTATACACTACAATCCAAAAGTTGAAGGTGAATATGGATGGGTGGGGTGGACAAGAGAAAAAATGGCATCTTGCAGATTGAAGGATTTGACTATTAACTTTTCAACTGGTATCTGCATAAATATATCCAAAATAAAAATGTGTTTCAAGAAAAATGGATTTTTTCCAGTCGTTATAAACTATGAACGTTGTTCCATAATTTGAGGGTGTGGATCTAATATCTCCAACTGAAACAGCAGGAAAGTATTCACACAATAAGGAGAGCAGGGAGTTTAAAGTGTGAATAGCATTTTGTTTTGTAACCTACAATCCTGCACTATATTAGCTATGCATGGGGAAACTGTAAAACTGAACATGGCCTCAGGGGGTCTGGATGAGCCACTCTGGGCTCAGGAGCTAAGCAGGGTCAAGCTGGGTAGCTACTAGGAAGAGAAACTATCGTGCAATACTAAGTCTTAAGGCTGGACTGGGGTATTTAAGGCATTAGGCTAGATTAGGAAGGCAAAAAAGCACCCTGGAAAAGCACACTCACAAACCATTGCTCCTAAGCAAATTATGCGCAAAAGGGTCTCAAATGAGCATTTACATTTTATCTGAACTTTGCCAAAATTAGAAGTGTAAAAGCCAATCGAATTGATTCCGCTAAAAAAAAAACACATATTATTCAAAATGCTGCAGAGCATAGATTCAGCTCTCTGTTTGTTTAGAACTGTCTTTCCTCTATTGTACTTGGATTTTTTTTTTTCTGAGAGAGATGATGTGGGGTGTGTGAGAGAGAAGAGGGGGGAGAGAAAGGGAAGGGAGGAGGGGAAAGAATGTGAGAAGAAGAGTTTATTCCGGCATTTTAGTGGCGCATTTAAATTGCAAGCGGGGGGGAGCCCACAGATTTAACTGGGACACAGAAAATTTATGAAGGCTGCAGGACAAAATAAAATGCATTTATAGAAGAGGGGAATAGTTGGAAGTGGGGGTGGGTATTGAAAGTCAACTGGGAACTCAATGAACAATTTATTTATTTATTTCCCTTGCTGAGTGCTCGTCTAAAAAAAAAAAGCTTTTGCAGTAAGTTAAAGTCCCAGGTGAGCTAGGCCTAGTTCCCTTTCTGTTACTATGACAACGAATTTTTACC